CCCCCGTTGCTCCGCCGTTTGTTGTGTTGCTGAACGGTTTCATCACCAGGCAACTGTTGCTGTCAGCTGTGCGTCACCGTCATGGAGCATGTTGTCAGTAACTTTGTGTTTGGACATTAGTTTGATCATTGGTCATTTCCTGTTTTATTTTGAAGTTGACTTCCTTGCGTATCTTCTAATCATTTTACTTCCTGTCTTTGTCCAGTTTCCCTCCAGTTTGATTGTCTGCCCCGCCCTGATGTGTTTCACCTGTCTCCTCACCTGTCTCTGTCTTCCTCTGGACCTCCAGTTTTCCTTTGTGTTTCCTGTTTGTTGTTCTCCAGTGTTTTTCCTGAATTTCCTTGTTTTGTTTTTTTGTTCCTGACTTGTTTATTTTGGATTCCTGGTCTTTTTGGTTATTTATTAAAACACCCTTCACTTTCAGTTCTTCCTGAAAACCCGACGGTGTGAACATGTGGTTTGACTTTGAGCTGATACTTTTATGAGCAAAGATCAATGAAAAGAATCATTAAATTAGCTGTAATCAATACTTCTATTGTACAAATGTATGAAGGGAAAACAGCGTGACAGTGTAAGAGATGAAAATTGAAAATGAGATGTTTGTTGGACTATCAGATTTAATTAATCGATCATTTCAGTGAAAAGTATAAAACTATCTGTGTGTTTTTACTTCAACATCTTTGTTTTTTTGTTCATTCTTACAGAGAAGTTTCATGAACCAGGAAAGTTTTTAAACATTGATGAAATAAAACATCAACATCACAACAAACAGGAGCAATAATGTTTTCACTTGATTTTATATCATATATATATATGATGTATATATAAATATATATATACAGTTGTGTGAAAAAGTGTTTTCCCCCTTCCTGATTTCTTATTTTTTTGCATGTTTGTCACACTTAAATGTTTCAGATCATCAAACAAATTTAAATATTAGACAAAGATAACACAAGTAAACACAAAATGCAGTTTTTAAATGAAGGTTTTTATTATTAAGGGGAAAAAAAATCCAAACCTACATGATCCAATATGAAATGACATGAATTAAATCCTGCATCAGATGAGAGTGCTCGTAATTCTTCTGTGTTTATTTTCACATTGAAACTGGAAAGTTTTTCAGGACATAGTTCTTGAATTTTATAACTTTATTATTCTTCATGTCTGCCAATAGTGTCGAACGAAATCCTCACCGAGACATATCCCATGATTCATTGTGTTTCTGTAATGAAAATAAAATGGCAGCAAACAACAGTGACAGAAAGTCTGAGGTTCACGCTGTTAAATGTTTCAGCTCAGTTAGAACAGTAAAACTGTTCAACCCAGAGACTGAAGACAAAAAGTTACTGTGGAAAAAAAGTAATGTGTTGTCAAGGTTGCTAGGCGACAGGAGCCATGCTTTGTGACGCTGCCGGTGACGCAAAGCAAAAATCCTCTGTAGACCAGATATAACATATATACATACATACATATTTTATTATTATTACATCTTTCCACCATGTTTGTTGTTCTGTAAATTATTTGTCAGCTGACTTGCAATACCTCCGCTTCATCTCCTTCTGTAAATGGTGATGAAATTAGTTTTATCTGCACATTTCAGAGAGTGAAAGATTTTTATTGACAGTTATTTACATGAAAGCAGCAGCGAGTCATTTCACTGTGTTCCTGGTGAACATGATGACCAGCTTCTCTCTGACGGCCTTGATCTGCAGCCCGTAGATCACAGCGTTCATGGCAGGAGGAACCACATGGAACATGATGGACGCCAGCTTCCTTTCATCTGATAGGTCGGGGAAACGATGGAGGATGATGATGATGGAGCCTGAGACGAACATGATGATGTAGACGGCCAGGTGTGTGGCGCAGGTCTGCAGAGCTTTGCTGTTCAGCGCCTTGTTCTTGCTGCTCAGACACACCGCAGCGATCTTCAGGTAGGTGAGCGTGACGCTGCCGATGGAGGAGCCCAGCAGGACCACGGTGTAGCCGAGGCCGTACACCTGGTTGATGAGGAGGCTCTCGCAGGAGAGCTTGAACAAGGAGGCGTTGTCACAGAACGGGTTGAAGATGATCCACCTGCAGCGCGACAGGCGGACGCTGAGGCCCACGAGGATCAACACCATGATCAGAGCGACGGCCCAGGCCGACACCGACAGCTTCACCACCATGCTGTTGGTCATGATGGCGGCGTAACGTAGCGGGTTGCAGATGGCCACGTAGCGGTCGAAGGCCATGATCATGAGCACGGTGTGAGTGGCGCTGGCGTGGAAGTGAGCGCAGAACGCCTGGACGACACAGTCGATGTAGCTGATGTGGCGTTCTGAGCTCGGGGTGAAGACGTCGCTCAGCAGGCGGGGGATGATGGTCGACGCCCCAAACGCGTCGTTGACACTCATGTTGCAGAAGAGCAGGTACATGGGCTGGTGGAGGCTCGTCTCCATGGTGATCAGGACCACCAGGCCGAGGTTAGACACCATGATGAAGACGTAGATGAGGAGGAGGAGGATGAAGGCGGGGATGGAGGACTGGGGGCTGACCTTTAACCCCTCCAGCTGCAGGATGTCTGTCTGGTTCTCCATCGTGCAGAGTTCATCTGAGTCTGAGCACGAGAGAAAAGTCACGAATAAACTCATAATAAAAAAAAGAAAAACAAAGTGAGGAAAAAATAAAAAGATGTCTTTATAATCAACATTAAACAGAATTAGTCCTTTACAATTAAAGCTTGCTGTGGAAGTTCATTACAAATGATGAATTTCTTTGGTGTTCACATTATGTACAAAAAGACTGAAGCATTTAAAATAGAAAAAAATCATGTTTGAAATTTAGAATTAAAGCTAAAAATAATAATAATTTTATTCCTTTTGTTGCTGATGTTCTTTAGTTAGTGATAATTGTGTTTGTGTAATTATGTGAAAGGACAATAGAAATCCTCTGTGATGAAACAATGGCAAAAACAGATTCAAAGGTTAAAGACTTTATGCATGAACATGGTGGAATCATGAGAAACTCAGTCAGCTGTAATATTGTTGTCAAACTGACAAAAGGTTTGACATTAAAATAAATGCAGATGTTGGTGGTTAATTCAAGTAGTTTGCATGTGGAACAAGCTGCTGCAGCTGCAGCTGCTCTGACACGTCACCAAGTCCTTTAAATACATTCAGTGTCAAACACTTTGAATGCTTTTCATGTTTGTTTGTTTTTATTCGTTTTCCTTCAAATTAAAGTTTCCATTTTCAACAAAACATAGCACATGTCGTACGTGTTAATAATAACATGATCTTATTAAAACTTAGGCAGAAAATCAAACACTGTATTTATATTATCATTATTTTAAGTATATTATCGAGCATTATATTTGTATTATGTTTGATCTGAACATAGAACACGTCATATAGAATCTAATCAGATGTATGAAAGGTGTGTGTAGAGTTTAGATCACCTGTGTGTCATGCTCACCTCTGCTGACACCAGCCTCCTCCGCTCAGACCTGAGCTGCTGCTCCGCACTTTATAATCTGACTGAGCGGCGGCGGCGTTGCATCACTGACCTCTGAGCAGCTGATCGTCTCGAGGCACCCGTCTGTTTGTTGTTGTTTGTGTTTGTGAGAAAGATTTGATGTTGATCCAACTACTGAAGATTCATAAATATAAACATTTTCGTGCTGCTCACCGGGGTCTGAAGCCGGGCCGGGCCTTGATGGGGCCACACAGAGTTTGATTGTCAATATTGATCATTCACACTCCTGCTTTAAATCACACATTATGAAGTGTATTGGATGTTGCTCTGACGGAGGCAGGGTTAAAGTCATGGTTCAAGTGTGTGTTCAGTGTGTTACTGGCAGTAGACTTTTCAAACACACCTCTTCAAACTTTACCTCCAGCATCTGCCCTTAATTAAATTTTTAATGCAATTACCTTTATTCTGTATTTTATGCCTTGTGCTAGCTTTTTATCTTAACCGTTGACCTACTGTATTCCCCGACCAGCTGCTTGAGTCAGACGTAGCTAAGCGTAGCTGCGCTTGTGCGGAGGAATACGGTAGTTCAACGGTTGAAAAAATGTAGTTCCAGAGAAAAGGGCTGTTTGACGGCAGATAAAGTGGTGCAGGTCAGGCAGAGTGTCACTGTGGAGGGCTGACTGGAACCCAGGAGCTGCCGTCGGCCCGGCCCCTGATGGGAGATCAGGAGGTGGCGTCGGCTGGACCGACCGGAAACCAGGTGCAGATGTTTTGATGAGGAACTGATGAGAAGTCAGCTGGGATCTCTGGAGCAGGAACGATGTTGGCTGGGACCAAGCATCAACCTCCAGACTGAAACATGAAGCTTCAACATGAAGAACCAGAAGCTGCAGTTCCTCTAACGACCACTAGAGTCTGGCTCCAGCAGTGAGTCAGTCCCCATAGACTCCCATGTTAAAATGTCCAACTTTACAGCAGAAATAAACATGTTTACAGCCTGGTACAGAAACTGTTTTGGTCTCTAGAGCTAATTTCCTCCTTCATGACACCTGTTTATATAACTCACCTGTTTACATTTTATTAAGCGCTAAAGTTATGGAGGATTGAGGGTGTGGCCTCTTTGAATGACAGGTGTGTGAGCGTATGTTTGACACAAGCCAGCATGCACCTAAGTCTCAGCTCCACCCATGCCCCTTCTAATTGTCCATTTTTGGATTAGCTGGGAGTTAGGGGGCAGAGTCAGGTTCTGCCAAGATGGGAACTGTGGAGCAGCTCACTCTGAGCTTCAGAAACCTGTGGGTGACGTCACAGAGGTGAGGTCCAGCTTTATTTACAGTCTTTGGCCGGTAACCTCGACGCTGGAGCAGGCGAGGCGTCGCCCAGGGCAACAGGAAGTCGTATAAAATCCAGAAAGTCACTCAGGTTCAGATCAGGACACAAACAATGGAAAACATGGCGACGATGTGACGTTTCTGTTTGATGTGTCAATGTGAGGAAGACTCCAGTCTCTGTGTTGATGCTTCACGTACGTCGACTTTATTCACTCAGTCTGCTTCACTTTGCTTTTTATACACAACAACTTTTACACCTCAGACAAGTGTAAAAAGCTTTTTGGAGTTTCGTTGCAGGGTTTTATTCCTCCACACCGGCGACAGTCATGTCCGTCTCATTCTCATGACCCTGATATCTCAGTAACATCTTGAGGGAACTTCTTCAAATTTGGTAAAAACATTCACTTTGATTCAAGGACGAACTGATTCGATTTTAGGGGTCAAAGGTCAAACCTCACAAGACACTTTTTAGCCATTACTCGAGACGTCACACAAATCTCACACCAATGTTTCATATTTTAAATGACTCTGGATAAACAGGGATGTAACCTGGAACTCGTCTGAGTGGCGGAGGGATACGACCACGAGGCGGTTGGCATGTATCATATATTGACCTTTGACCTTTGACCACCAAAGTCGTCTCAATTCATCATTGAGTCCAGGTGAGGGTTTGAAGAATTAGAAGAAATTCTGTCAAGTGTAACTGAGATATGATGTCCACGAGAATAAGACGGACAAGCTGAAAACAAAATGGCTGCCGCTCTGACTGTCGCCAGCGTGGAGGAATAAAAGATGAAGAAGAGGTGAGGGAATAATTCATGGTTGCTGTTGTTAGTGACACCTGTGCTCATTCACAGACAGGAAGTTCACATCATGAGTTTGTGGAGTTTATTATGTTTTTTATTCATCAGCTTTATCTCAGCGGAGTGAATTACAAACTGGAGGCGGGGGGATCTGATGAACGACACCATCCAGCTGCACCATGGGAAATGTAGTGTTTTGTGTGTTTTTGTAACTTGACCGATCCTGATGACCGCAGGTCAGGACACGTCGACCTCTGCTGCTTCAGTCTGACTCGTCTCTGTGAGTCAGTACTAAACCAGCAGTGATGAAAACATGTGCACAAAGCTTTTAATACTTCCTGTTAAAGTTCATATTAAGGCGTTAGAAACATTAGAGGAACTTTAAAAGGTTTTATAAACAAACACACAGAGATTATTATTATATATATATGGCCCTGAAGCTCAACACACAAACACATTCACAAAACGTCTTCATCAGTCTGACAACTACAACACCAGTGTTTCCAGGGGACAGTAAAAAGTGATGAACCTGCTGGGACACACTTGTTGTTCAAAGCCCAGTCGTGACTTTTGAAGTTAAAAGTATGAACAATCCACACTACACTACCTACAGATATGAGATATAGATATCTACAGATATCAGAGAAGCAGCTCACTGACTATTAGATAAAGATAAAAAACTTGATTCTTCACTTTGGCCTTTAACTCACTCTGAAATTTTACCCTTTGCTCCACATTAATGAAAAAGCTCTTCTTTTAAATGTCTTTTCATTTAATGATTTATTATTTTATTCATCATTTATCTCATTTTACATTAATGTTTTTAATGTTTGTCATTTTAGATCAATGCTTCAACATGTGTTATGTTCATTTTATGTCTTTTCATGTGAAGCTCAGGTCATTTCTTTGCTTTATTTGCTGTACAAATAAAGTTTATTATTATCATTATTATTATTATTATTATTAACAACAAGTGAGTCCCAGCAGTTTCATCACTTTTAAGGCAGGTGTAAGTTGCAGTGTGTTGAGCCCTCAGGGCCACCGTACTTGTGAACTACCACAGACCAGTAATAAAAGGCAGTTTTGCAATAAGTAATGAGTTAAGTAATGAACAGACACTATAATGTAGTGACAGTGATTATTGCTCTGCCCTAAAACAGCATCATCATGATCCAACTCACTGATTCCACTGAATTAAACATTATTATGATTCTCTTTAAGCGTCTTGTGCAAAAGTATTTTCCACGCTGTCACTGTGAATCAGTTTCCCTCCTTTAGAGCGACTTTGTTTCTGTGGAACACGGCTGTGATCCTCTGTCTGACCTGTTTGATCTGCAGCCCGTAGATCACAGCGTTCAGAGCAGGTAAGGCCACGTGTCCCAGGACTGACGCCACCTTCCTGTGGTCGGACAGCTGAGGGAAACGGTGCAGGATGACGATGATGAAGGCCGACACCAGGAGTATAACGTACACAGTCAGGTGTGTGGCGCAGGTCTGCAGAGCTTTGCTGTTCAGCGCCTTGTTCTTGCTGCTCAGACACACCGCAGCGATCTTCAGGTAGGTGAGCGTGACGCTGCCGATGGAGGAGCCCAGCAGGACCACGGTGTAGCCGAGGCCGTACACCTGGTTGATGAGGAGGCTCTCGCAGGAGAGCTTGAACAAGGAGGCGTTGTCACAGAACGGGTTGGATATAACCGACCTGCAGCGCGACAGGCGGATGCTGAGGCCCAGCAGGATCGCCACCAACACCAGGGCTGTTCCCCAGGCGGCAACCGACAGCTTCACCACCATCCTGTTGGTCATGATGGTGGAGTAACGCAGCGGACTGCAGATGGCCACGTACCGGTCGAAGGCCATGATCATGAGCACCGTGTGGGAGGTGCTGGCGTGGAGGTGAACGCAGAAGGCCTGAGTGACACAGCTGATGTAATGAATGTAGCGCTCTGAGTCTGATAACAAAAGATCCCTGAGGACATGAGGGATGATTATCGTGGCTCCGAACACGTCGTTAATACTCATGTTGCAGAACAGCAGGTACATGGGCTGGTGGAGGCTCCTGCTGCTGAAGATCAGGATCACCAGGCCGAGGTTAGACACCATGATGAAGATGTAGACGAAGAGGAGGAGGATGAAGGCAGTGCTAGAAGACTGAGGGGTGACCTTTAACCCCTCCAGGATTAGGATATCTGAAATAAAACTCTGGTTCTCCATAATGAATCTGCACTAGTTACAAAAAAGCAACAAATTACAGTCACAGTTCATCTGAATATATCCCCATCACACCATGTATCTGACACAGTCTAAACCATCGTTGAATTAAAATCAAGTTATCTGAGGAGCATTTAAATACATTCAGCGTTTCCTCTTCTACTAGTTTCTGCTGTTTCTGCCTGTGTGCACTGAGGATGATCCAGAGAACACAGACACATCCCTGATCATCTGCAGTGCATTAGACTGGAGGCAGACATGTCACAGAAACACACAGAACATGACGCCACCTGAAGCGTCGCTGATGTGGTGAACTGGCCCTTTAAGAAAGCTTGAAGCTCAGTAAGAAGAAAGTTTTTCTATCAGTGTCGACACTGAGCTGAATCCACCGTGATGCAGCTGCACACACACACACACCGCCCTCCACCCAGTACACACTTTTATTCAGGGCATCAGTGGCCGTCAGCAGCAGCGTCACAGCATCGCTGATAGGTCAACTGTTGCCTGGCGACCGTTGATACGCAGGATCCAGCCTCATCATCATCGTGGGCGTCTGCTCCGGATGAATTCATGATAGAGGCAACAGGTTTTAATTATATATAATAATCTATTGTCACTTCATACACACACACACACACACACACACACACACACACACACACAAAGATCGTTTTTGAGACTCATTTAGACTCAAACTTTCTTCATCCATGTGTGTGTGGAGGCTGACAGTGACAGTGACTGACAGTGACAGTGACTGACAGTGACAGTGACAGTGACAGTGACGGTGACAGTGACAGTGACAGTGACGGTGACGGTGACGGTGACAGTGACAGTGACGGTGACAGTGACGGTGACAGTGACAGTGACAGTGACTGACAGTGACAGTGACAGTGACAGTGACGGTGACGGTGACAGTGACAGTGACAGTGACTGACGGTGACGGTGACGGTGACTGACAGTGACAGTGACAGTGACGGTGACGGTGACGGTGACGGTTGGTCGGTGTTACTCAGGTGAAACGTGTTCAGGTGAGACCGGCCCAGCAGGACGGAGGACTGTGGTGTCCAACATGTGGCCCGTGAGCGACCTGCTGGTCACCCAGAGGTTCAGAGGAGACGGTCTGTACGAACAGCGGGTGTGTAGTTCAAACTTCCCTCCGTCAGTCTGCTCCAAGTCAACACTGTCACTTACACACACTTTATTATTGATCACACAGATGATTATTAGTCAGTTTACATCAGATGTGTCGCAGGCAACGTGCAGTGAAGGCAACAATACAGATATAAACTAAACAAACAGGAAATATGTTGCCATGGATACAGTGAGTAAAACTGTGGTTCAGCTTGAGCCCTGTTTTTATTCCTCTGCGTCGGCGACAGTCAGAGCGGCAGCCATTTTGTTTTTGGGTTGTCTGTCCGTCCGTCTCTTTCTCATGGACACAATATCTCAGAAACGCCTCAAAGGAACTTCTTGAAAATTGGTACAAAAATTCACTAGGACTCAAAGATGAACTGATTAGATTTTGGTGGATGAAGGTCAAAGGTCAAGGTCAGGGTGACCTCACAAAACAAAGTTTTGGCCTTGTGAACACAATATCTCCGTAAGGCCTTGAAGGAACTTCTTCAAATTTGGCACAAACGTTTACTTGGATTCACGGATGAACTGATTCGATTCAGGGGGTCAGAGGTCATGGTCAGGGTGACCTCACAAAACACTTTTTAGACATTACTCAAAAGCTTCTGACAATTGGTTCATATTTTCTCTGACTCTGGATAAACAGGGATGAAACCGGGAACTAGTCTGAGTGGAGGAGGGATACGACCAGGATGAGGCGTTTGTTTACATTTTGGAAAAGGAGGGGTAGCTATTTTAACTTCCTGTTTGTTATGAACAATTGATGTATTGACAACTATCACTGATCACTGACTGAGGAGTTTTCAGATGTTTTGGATATTTGATGAATTGTTAAACGATCTTCAGTTTGAGCGTTTTGATACGTTATATGAATAAATGTAAGCAGTGATATCAGACATGAGGAGCTCTCAGCCCCTTTCATTAAGTCAAAATGGCTCTCAGAGTCAAAGGGGCTGGAGACCCCTGAAGTAATTGATCTGGAGGAGAACGAGGTCCTGTACTGAGGTCTGTTATTTGGAAATCCTTTTTAAATTTCAGCAGATCATTTAACTCACTGACCTGAATAATAACAGCTGAAACAGTCAGAAATCTGATGAGTCTTGATTTATGAAGAACTATTTGCAATGAATAAAAAGTGCTGAAAGCAAAACTCAGAACTTGTTAAACTTTTTATTGATAAAGCCTGTTATACTGGATTGGCATCAATATTTACAACCTGACAGCTCAACATGATCCCTACAGAAATGATTTAATAGGTTCAAATATTATCAATAAATAAATACAGTATTTACAGATTCTGTGTAGAATTCATTTCATCTGGATCACCTTGCTGCAGTGAAACACAGAGATAATCCTCTGTCTGATCTCTTTGATCTGCAGCCCGTAGATCACAGCGTTCAGAGCAGGAAGAACCACTTCGCCTAGAATGGCCGCCACCTTCACCCACTTCCTGTGGTCGGACAGCTGAGGGAAACGGTGCAGGATGACGATGAGGAAGCCTGAGCCCCAGCAAGAGGACATACACAGTCAGGTGTGTGGCGCAGGTCTGCAGAGCTTTGCTGTTCAGCGCCTTGGTTCTTGCTGCTCAGACACACCGCAGCGATCTTCAGGTAGTGAGCGTTGACGCTGCGATGGAGGAGCCCAGCAGGACCACGGTGTAGCCGGAGCCGTACACCTGGTTGATAGGAAGCTCTCGGGAGAGCTTGAACAAGGAGCGCGTGTCACAGAACGGTGGAAGATAACTGACTGCAGCGCGACAGGCGGATGCTGAGGCCCAGCAGGATCGACACACACACCAGGCTGTTCCCAGCGGCGCAACCGACAGCTTC